AAAAATTGAAATTTTATATGTAAATTTATAAATTTATATATAAAATTTCAATTTTCAAAATGCATCAACTCCTTACAATGATGAGATTTTGAAAAGATATTTGACATATATGTAGAGTTAATATAGTTCTATAAAGTTACTAGTTAGATTTTTTTAAAACCTCTTAGATAAAAAGTTATAACTATTTAAAAAATTGAAACTCTTCATATAACTATTGAGTATAGATTTTTTGCATTATATAAAATTATAATTATAAATTTAATAGTAATAGTTAACTAACTCTTAGACTTAGATAATGCTTTAGAATTAGATCTTAAATATTTCAAATCTTAGGTTCTGTAATTATTTAATATAAAAATTAAAATTAATTTAAAAAATAGTATAAAATTTAATTTATAGTTTTTTAATTCTTAAGCTAGAATAATAATTCAGAACTAGGTCTTAAGTACTTTAAATCTTAGTTCTATAGTTATTAGTTTAAAAATAATGTAATATATATTTAATTTATAGTTTTCTAGTTCTTAAGCCTAAGTAATGCTTTGAAGCTAGATCTTAAAATTATTTTGATCTTAACTCTATTTGATACTTTGAAAATTAGATTTCATATTTTTTTTATAATTAAATTTTGTAAATCTCTAGTTATTAGTTTTAGGTAATGCTTTAAAACAGGTCTTAAGTTTTTTAAATCTCAGATTCTGTAGATTTTAGATTTCAAATTCTGTAATTATTTAATTTATAAATTCAATATTAGATTAAAAAATAATGTAGTAATTAATTTATAATTTTTTGGCTCTCAGGCCCAGATAATGCTTAAGAGTTAGGTTTTGAGTTTTTTAAATCTTAGGTTCTGTAGTTATTTAATATATAAATTTAAAATTAGTTTAAAAAATTGTTTTCTAGCTTTTATATGATATTTTTTTAACTATAAGATCATAAATATGATAAAGTTTTTACCATTACTAAAGATTAACTATTAAATATTTGATTCGATATTTATTAAGCAGATAATTAACAAAGAATTAATTTTTGTTAATTTTCTTTTATATTTATTTTATTATTTTTATTTAATATTTTTATATTAATTTATTTATTATTTATTATTAATTTTATTTATTATTAATTTTTTAATTTTATTTGTTATTTTTTTATTAATTTTATTTGTTATTTTTTATTAATTTTGTTATCCTTTATTAGTTTGTTATTTTGTTTTTACAAATTTTATTATCTCTGTCAGTTTTTTTAACTTTTGTTAGTTTTGTTACCTTTTGTCAATTGTCAGTTTTGTCATTTTAAAAACTTTATGACAAAAGACAAAGCCTAGTTTCAACTTTTGACAGTGACAAAACTTTTAGGCTTTGTCTAACAATATTAGTTGTCAGCAATATGTTGTGTCAGGAAATAAGGTCGTCAGTATTATGGATTCGAAGAAATGAGACTTTGAAAAAATGGGTTCGTTATTATTACGATTTAATTGGCCGATTTCACGTGGTAACGATAAGGTTTATACATAATCATTTCGAAAATTTCTAGGGTCCAGTTTGTAATAGAGAAAGCATTTTGGTGATTAAAAATATAGAAATACATTGCTCTTTAAAAAATTATAAATAAAATTCTCGAAATTCATCTCTTATCAAATTCTAATTTATAAAATTATTCGATCCTGATTCTAAAATTATTTAACATAATTAATTTTCATTTCAACAAAAAATTTTTATTTATATAAAATATACAAGATATATAAAATAAAAATATTAAATGCAATTTTAGTTTTTTCTTTTTTTTTTTTTTATAATTAGTCGATTCGTTAAAGACTTAATTTTTTAAAACGAGAGTTTATTCAATCTGTTTTAAAAAACAAAAGTCTTAGTTGATTTAAAAAATATTTTAAAACCTTTTTTACGAACCATTTGTTTTTTTACACTAATACATTTTAGTGGATCATCTGTTAGTATTGCATCGACACCATAAAAAAACAAACTTCTCATATCACTTTCAGTGTCCACCGTCCAAACAAACAATTTTCTACCCCTATCTCTTATTTGAGATATAAAGTCGGTTGTATCTTCGAGTATATAAGTATATTCCATGTTATATGATTCAACTTTATCGAAGAATTGTTCACGAGCAACTGAAATGTTACTACCGATAAAACTTATTGGAAAACCGGGTAATACTTGGCGAGCTCTGATTAAGAAGTCATAAGCCCAGATACCGAGATAGATTTGAGTACGAAAATCGTAAGGTTCTGAGTGTATTATGTCGGCTATTCGATTTAAAATGTCTATATTATTGTCGTCCTATTTAGATTTTAGAATTTTGATTAACGAATATGTTACTCTACTCAATATGACACATGCCTCTTGCTAAAAATTCGTACTTTAATATCCATGATGAAAAAAATATTTTTATTAAGTTTTAATAAATTTAGGACTTCTTGTAATTTTGATACCCTTTCATTATCTTTAGTTACCAAATACTCGATATATCCTTTCCAATTTCTGTCATTAACGTTTCCAGAACCTAGTTTTTTTTTTAATAAAATGTATTGGACAAAATACTTTATAATTTATCAAAGATGATGAACCTATTTGCAAAGTTAAAACCTATTTCAGAACGTGTTAATAAAATTTCTAAGAAATTTTTACCATTAGTCGTTCTTTCGAGGGTGGTGTCATGCATCATGATCACCTCTTCATCCTTGGTAAATCGAACGTCAGATTCGATTCCATCAGCGCCAATCTTTATTGCTTGCTCAAGAGATACAAGGGTGTTTTCCGTAAATTTGATCGGGTTGCCTCGATGACCTACGCACTTTGTTCTTGATCCTGCTCGCGCCAATAAAAGACGGGTTAAATAAAGATAGAAAAAAGAATTAAACATTAAAGTACTTACTAATTTTGTAATCAAGGTAACTGAATCCATGGTCATGAACCAGGCATAAAAAAATCAAAAGAAAAACGACAGGAGACATCATTAATTACCAAGTAACATTCTTAAGAACAATATTATCTTTTATTCCTACAAATACTAACAAGGCTACACAAGTAGTTTTCGTCCTACACATTTTTTTCTTATTGTTGCAGTATTTGTTTTGGAACCGTGCTTGTGCATGAGGAAATTATCAATACGTATAACATAGCTTTAATTTCGGCCTATAGAATACGTACTTGAGTTGTCATGCGTTAAGCATTGGCTATCAGCCATCAGCCTATTTGATATCAGTCAAGTCATAGGCAGAAGTTTGTCTGATTGGCTAATAAATTCAAATTAATTTCACATTATTTATACAGTTTAGAGTAATAATAATGAAATATAAAAAAAGTTGTATAGTTCTAGGACTCCATAGCCAACAATAAGATCTAATTCTCGTCCGTTTAAAAAAGTTAGTATAATAATAACTTCTCAAAACCCGATAAAATCAAGCTAATTTTTTTAAACGAATGAGAATTAGATCTTATTTTTTGACTATGGAATCCTACAGCTCTAATAAAACCTTCTATATGATCTTTTTTACTTTATTATTGGTTGGTTTTCGTTTAAAAAAGTATTCTAAACTGTATAAATAATGTATAATTAAATTGAATTTATTAGCCAATCAGACGAACTTCTGCCTATGAGCTGTTAAGGGAAAACCTGACATCGGGTTTCAATTATATTTTGTGCCGATTTGATTTATTGTCCGATACAAGATAGGTTTTTTCCTTGACGATACTCAAATATCGATATGGTTATCACTAGAGATGGGCAAAATTTTTATTTATTCTTACATATTTTTACATATTTCAACATATTCTTACAAATCATAGTAAAATTAATACATCAAAATAAAAGACCAAGTTCAATGTATATATATATTAGTTAAATTAGCAGCAAATTCAATTTATCGTATACAATTGATGATTAATTTAATGATTAAACATTATCGAGATTTTTTAAAACTAACCAGTCCTCTAAAGTTTTTCCTTGAATATTATGTATAGCTTGAATAGAAGATTCAATTGTCATCATTATTTTTCATATAATCAAATTCAATATTCGATATAGTACTTTCAAGACTTGTTTCATTAGAATTAGCTGTATTAGTTTGAATGATTTGATCAAATCTATTTCTTTTATGTATAATATGCCATCGAATGCATGTTCATTTTAAATTTGTTATGCCGTGATAAATGGATATTTAAAATAAATAACTAAAATCTTTTGCTTTCAGCAGAAGTAGGTGATATTGACATAACCTGTGCAGCAAAAATAGTTAATTCCAGTATTTCATCCTGGAAATTATTTCAGAAATATACACAGGATTACAAAATATGCATTTGGCTTAAACCTTTTGTTGGTTTTAGCTGGTTAAGAAGACCTAACGGATGGCCGGTAGAACCAACTGAAAGTTCACGAAGCAAATGTCGAATTGGCAAATTTGGTAAAAGCCAATTTGACATTGTATGTAAATATATTATTAACATCGATCTTTTTTATTTAACTCAAACAAATTTGTATACATATTTTATAGTTTATTTGTAATAATAGAGATAAGTGACATAGTTTATTTGTAATCGATGGCTCTTAAATTACTTAATAATATGTAATAATCGCTTACATAATTATTGCATTGCTTATCACAGATGAATGCCGCCAATCGTGGACACAGTTGCACTCTAAAAAGTTTCGCCTTTTCCCTATCTTTTTTTTGTGTTTGAACCTATATTTTTTATAATTCTGTAGTTACACAAAGGACTGTAAATTACCATAATTAACATAATTTCGGTAAATTAGATTTTAAACATACAGTATGATAACAATAATGACAATTTACGTTAGTTTTGCAATCAAAAAAGAAATCACTCGATTGTTAGGTGATTATTTGTGATTTTGGATTTCTTAAAAGAACCATGATATGATAATTTCATATTATTTTCTCAAATACGTAATAGTATAACCAAACTTTTGACACTTTACATGAGAAAATGTACTTTGCAGAATTGGTTAATTTAGCAAAATATTTTTAATATGCTAATCTCATATATATGTCACATCTGAAGTTACGATTTATCTAAAGTAGTGCCTGGCTAAAATTAAGCCCCTGAAATTAGATCTTTATGCATGCATTAGATTTTAATTTTGGCCAGGGTGCTACTTTAGATAAATCGTTACGTACTTCAGATGACATATATAATATATATTATATTTAATTATATAATAAAAAAATATCAATTTTTTTATAATATTTTTAATATTATTACTGTAATAATTAGATACTTTTGAACATATATGTTAAGTTTGTCATAACTCTTTTTTAATTAATTAAATATACATGTAATTATTATATATTAAAAATATAATAATTATATTTATATTAACTTTATTGTAATTATTGATTTTGATTGGCTAAGGGTGACTATCAAAAATTTTGTCAGAATTACCCAAAATTTTACTAATGAAATCACAACTGACCATTAAGTGAAAATTAGTCAGGGTAAAATCGGCACCCAGGATATTGTCATTAAATATTAACATAATTGTAGTAAGTAATTTTTTTTTCGATACTTCAAAGTGAAAAGTGATTGTTAAAAGAATGAAAATCGAAATAAAATCATAAAAACTAATCAAGAAAATGCAATTGCATCAGAAAATTTTGTAAATTTTATTTTTAATGCTTTTCCGAAAGATTATAATGCTGATTATTTATTTGAGTAAAAGGTTTTTATAATTCTGAATCCAGGACGCAACAACAAAAAATTGGTGAAAAAAAATAATAAACCCAAATAGTAACAAATGACTTGGTAGTATTAATAAAAATTTTGTGCCATTGCATAAACTTGAGGATTATACTCATTTTAAAAGATAATGGAATATTTCAAATACTTAGAAAAATGATCATAATACTTTTTGGTTGTACACTTATTAAGCTATTCTGAATTTTTGTGTTAAGTTATATAAATTTTTAGTGCTCGATATATTAGTTATGTGATGTTCGAATCATTTTTTGAGGGATTGTTACAGACACAGCTTATCGACCAGCACTAACTGTACTGACACAGCATGACCAGCATTATAGTTAAGGTTGGTGTTAGAATATGGCAGAATTGGGTGAATTATATCATATGCTGTTGTGTCAGTAGCATTTTTTTTTTTGGTAAGATAGATATGCTGATTTTCACAATCAAGTTTATAGGATATATAATAATTGACAACAAATTGAATCAATGTAAATTGATTAAAACAAATGTTTGTTTTGATTTTATCATCTTTTATTATAAAATTTAAAATTACAAAAAGTATTAGTAGATGTATTTTGTAAAATACTATATTACAAATTTTTATACAAAATATTTTAATAATTATTTGATATAATATATAAATACATATTAATATAAAATTTGTATATAAATAAGATGAAGAAAAATTAACTATTTATGTAATAAGAGAAAAAAAGATTGGATATATTTTATTCTTTATTATTAATTTTGAATAAAGAAATTGGTTACAACTAGGGTTTCTTAAATCTAATTTAAATTTGATCAAATCAAATATACTTCTAATTTAATTTGATTTGATCAAATATTTAAATCAAATATTTGATTTTCAAAAAAATTAAAAATTTTAATTAATAAAAAAAACTTGATTTACAAAAATTTTACTATATTAATTGATTTAAACTTTAAGTAAAAGTGTTTTTTTAAACAAAATACCTCTAGTTTCATAAAATAAAAAAGTTGATTGTCTTAATAAAATTTTGAGTAAATGGTTTATAATTTTAATATTTAATTATAAATTTTCAAATCAAATTAAATATTTGTTAAATTAATAAATATTTGTCAAATCAAATTAAATTTAATTAGATTTAAATTTAATTTGATTTAAAAATTTCAGATTTAAATTTGATTTAAACTCAAATATTTGATCAAATTAAATTAAATCAATTAAATTACAGAATCCTAGTTATAACTTTTTCTTATATAACAATAACTTTGTTAATATATTTTTGTATTTATTATTGTTGAATTTGAAAGATTATAACTTAGTTGCTTTACAATTCAAATTATTGTGTAATATATAATATGTAACCTTTTTAAAAGAGAATGTTAGATTTGGTTAATAGATAATTAAGGCTTTTGGTTACTTTAAATCCATGAAGTCAAGTTGATAAGTCATATAATAAAAAACTCAAATAAATAATAAAGTTTATAGATTTTATAGAATTTGTATTGAGTATAATAGTAGTATTTTATTATAGATAATACAATATATTGAGACTTGTAAATTTAATAGCATGCTGCTCTTAAGGGTCATTTTAGTTTTTATTTATATTATTAAATTTGTTACTTACAAATATAACTTTATACTTATTATTACTTTAAGACTACCTAATATTATTTACAATTACTTATTTAATTTTTTTAATACTATTTTATTTCTTTAAAGATGTGTAATTTATTTTTACATTTCTTCTTTTCTACTTTTTTGCATTATAAATACTATTCTTGATTACAAATATAACTTATTGCATTTTATATATTTTTTATTTAATTGATTATGATATTCTAGTATTACATTATCTTTTTTATTTTATTTAATTTTATTTTTATCTGATTATATTTATTATTTTTTTTAAAGCAATACTTTTGTCTATATATCTTTATTTAATAATATATAATTACATTATTATATACAAAATCTATCAATAAAAATACAACTAGCTATATATATAACTTTAATTATTATCTAATTAAGGGTTCTGCTTATAGGTTATCTACTAGTTGTTATATCTAAGACCTACTTCTGAATTTTTTATTTAAATTTTCTAATTTTTAACACTTTATTTGCATATATATGCAATATTTATATTATTATTATATAACATTATTATATTTATTATAATGTAATGTATTTTTAATTTTATATTTTTTTTAAATATATAATATTGAAAGTGTAATTTTTTTTATAAAAGAATTTAGTTAAACAATAAATTTATTATTAATTTTATTTTTTTTTTATATTAAAGTGATCTATTTGATCTTTTGACTTTTATTAATAACTTTTTGGTAATGTAATTTAATGAACTACTACTGAAGAGTGTACAATTAGTTATATATATAACTTTTTTATATTACTTATTTAAGAAGTCTGCCTGAAGGTTCTTTATCAATTGTCATATCTAATATTTCTGCTTAGATGTTTTACTTTAAAATCTCTGAACCTACAATCTGTATTAATTTTACTAAGTCATACTCAGATGTTCAGATCATTGTCTTAACTTTAGAACTATTTTATCTTGATATAAATTTCCTGAAGCCTTTTGTATTTATTTTTACAACTGATTTGATATCACTATAGCAGAATTAATACTTGTAGTTAGAGTTAATAATTAAACTGCTATGCTTTTATAGAGTTTATACAAACATTAGCATCTATTTTATAGCATATCTCTAGTACTTTAGTATATCTCTGCCTTTTTATCAGATTTCTAATCCAAATAGCTTAGGTAGAACTACAACTAGTCTATTATTAAATTAAATTAGTTTAATATTTTTTTCTTCTAGTTTATTTTGGCAACTTGGTTAGTAGTACCTTCAAGCTTTTTCTAACTTAAAAGTTTTTCTTGTTCAGGTACTACAACCTTGGTATCTATTTCTAGTAGTCTAGTCTTTATAATAGTATTCTTAAAGATCTTGCTATTTTTTTATTCAAATATTTTTAAATAGACTTCTTCTTATTTAATTTTAACAGAATTATACAGCCATAAAGACTTATTTAGTGTTTGCACTATCTAATTATTAGTTTGCATTCCTCTATATAACTCCAACATTGCACAAATGTTTTATGACCTGCCAGTCATATTAGTATAACTGCTATTACAGATATTCTAACACAATTATTGATAATAGTTGCTGTAATATAAATATTACATAAGTGATTATCTAAATTTTCATTATTGATAGTATTTGAACATCTAACCTACTATTTAGAAGGTTGACAACCTGATCACTTCACTAGATTATTATACTTCTATTATTAATTTTATATTATTGCATTAATTAAAAATATATATATTAATATAAATAAATGATTTATAAGAAAATTATTATTTAAAAAATATTTATTAAATTACAGTTGAATTTACTAATATATTACTAAAAGATTTCAAATCACCTAATACTAAACTATAAATTATTTTAATAAAATCCCAATAATCAATATTAAAAGCATAACAAAATAAAATTATTATGCAAAAAAGTTTTATTAATTATAAGTTAAATATATTAAACACTAAAATTCATATAATTTAACAAAAAATATATAAAAAAATATACAAAGAAATTTAGATTAACAAAATAAAAATAATATAAATAATAACTTAATTATTTTATTTATTTTAAATAACTTAATAAGAAATTAAACCCTATAACTTAACAATAAAACTGTTAACTTTTTACAGATT